ATTGAGCAATTTGTGTCGCTTCAACTTGGTTGGTTGATCTTCGCTTGGATTCCACTAGAAGTTGCAACTTCGTCCAGGTAAGACCTGGCATGGGCATCTGAGCAAATGCGGAAAAAGAGCGGGTGATATATATATATATATGTTTTTCAAGCAAAAAAGTGCTAATGATGCAGCTGGCCCCGGGCAGCACCATTCAAACGTCAAAGTCAACTCAAGATGGACCTCCCTGTGCCTGCAACAAAATCTGACATTTGTTTTCTCGAGCATGCTCAAAGTCAGGTCATCTTCACAATGTTTTGGGTGATGATCTTTAAAACTTCGAAAACACAGCATTCTAAAGCAAAAGACAGCCCCCCAAACTAAAACTTAATGAGCGATCCAGCAATTGTAGCAGCTCATGCGGACTGAGACAACGCCTCAGCACCTTCGGTGCGGGTGGAGTTTGAAGCAATATCAAATGGTCAGAATTAGCAAACATGCTAAGGTTTGTTGTGGTGTGCGCAATCAAGCATTCTTGGCTTGACGTGGTTTGGCCTTTCGATCACCTGGAATCCCTTGATCCAATGAAGGAACATATCCATGCATTGGGCACACCGGAAATGCAGTGGAGGAACGCATTTTCTTCGAATTGTGGCAATACCTCCAAAAGGTTTGGTGTGGAACTCCATCGCATTTGCCACTGTTACCGTGCGATGATTCTTTGATGAAGTGGACATGGATGTGTTGGCATAACTGCCACGTTTTCGAGAACCATGACCTTTGGTTGTAGCAAAACCGACTTAAGAAGGCCTTCCACAAAATCCCTCCCATCCGTTCTTGCAAAACCTTTTGGCGAATTGGCTCTGGACCAAGCTGGACATGGAGGTGAACCAATCGAAAGATCAACATCGCCTGCGAACTGCCTACATCATTGCGAAACACCATCATGTCATCATGAGACCAAAATTAGGCTCTTTGACGGGACGTGGGACATGGTTTGATATGGATCTGCTACGCATAATTTGTTGCAAACGTCTCTGCTGCCTCACGATTCTGATCGATGGCTGCCACTGAATGGATAGGGACATTCATCTCTTTCAAGCACTTGATAGCTCGGGACCATCCTGAAAACCCTCCGAAAAGAGCTCGATAGTGCGGAGTGCGGAGAGAGAATTGGGACCCCTTCTGAGTGAAAGTAGGAGGCTGCACGACGGTGAGTCATGTCAACATGGAAACCAGGATCCCAGCTGGAGATTCTTGCATCTTGTATGGATGCCCAGTTGGTCCCCCTGTCAGGTCTTAATGTGACTACAGGCCGGTCTGATCACACCATGACCAAGGAATGAACCAGAAAGGACTTTCTCAGGTGGTATGACTATGATTGGACATCCGACAGTGACTGTATCCCGGTCTTCCGATACGACTCCCTGAGTTCGGATCGCGGCAGCAAAACCTTCCGCACGACAAAGACGAACTTCTGTCAGTGGTCTACAGACCGTCAGTCCTCTCACAATCGAGGCCAAAGGTTCATCTGGTCCCATACGCTCTGGGCCTGGATGACTCGCTTTGCCTATCCTTGTAGCCAGAAGTCAATCAAATCTACTTGCAGCGCCGACATGGTCAAATCTGAAGGTCTGATTTGTGAGATAGCAATCGATGAGTTGGCTCCACATCTACCTGTTTGGGAAGATGGATTTTGTGACATTTGTTCTTTCTGTTTACAGTACTGCCTGCCACACAGAACTGCTCACATCGGTGTGTCTGCAAAAGTGCCTTCGGACAGGATCAATTGAGAATCATGTGTGCACCTTTGCTATGAACCGATTGACTCCCAATGTGGTTGACCAACTGGCTTTGTGCTTGTCTGCAGCCATGACACCGTCATGTCGGTAAATGGAAGCCAAGTAACTTGTTCCCCCATGAGAAATCCCAAAAACATGGAGAATCCACACATTTCCTCTGGGCATTCACAAGCTATGAAATGTGCATGGACATTTTGCATGTCAATCTGAAGCAACCACTTCAGCTGATGAAGAAAAGCATTGACCTCTGTTGAATCATGATTGGGGAAGGTACGTTTGGTGTCGTAACACTCTGACCGCAAACCAGTGAAATTTGGTTTCAATCAGGACCACCAAAGCACTTGCATGTGACAACTTGATCCTATTGCCAAAATACAGTGCAGTCCACCTTCTTGGTGATTCCATTGGAGACATGGCGCAAACATAGTATGTTGGACAAAAGGTTGATAGATTTGCATAATGAAATAGAGCTCATCAGATCCCGCCCATCCAGGTTGCAAACAAAATGCCTGCAAGGGATCGGGAACGGCCCCTGTCGCCCCCTGGGTTGGCATGTGAAACGTGTTCAGCGGCTGTCCCGCAGCAGAGATGGCCAGGAAATCTAATCTGGTGTGAATGCCCGCATCCAAATGAAGCAAGTTGGTCAGAAAAGATAGCCGAACAGTATGTGCCACTTGCTGTAAATCATGAACTGCCCCGGTGATCGCCCATGCATCAGCTGACTGTTGAAGAGCCCTTCGAATGATATCGCTGTTGACCTCGGATAAGGCCTGCAGTTGACCATACTCTTGGAAAGAGTTGTGAGTTTGCGTCAGCACCGACCACCTCCATATCAACCCTGATCCACAGATGTCAGGAGGTGTGGCGTCAAGTGCACGTGAGATGATCAACCGATGCGCCGGAATCTGGAGCCCCCAGTATCTACAGGCACACTAGGTAGGCCGCTTGATCCATTGATCCCATGTTTATCTTTTGCGGTCTTGTGCGGCTTCTTGTAAAATGATCTTGTGTTTCATCGCCTATCGAAAAGCATGATGGCCAGAGGCCCACAATTGTGGCAACGATCGCATCTCTAAGATCACTATATATCTTTTCTCAAGACATGAGGAATTGCCACAGACACCTTCTTAGCGAGGTTGATCTGGTCCTTCTTGCTTCCTGTCCTATGAGGTCAAGCATCTTTGCAAGGAGGGAACTGAGTGTCAAAATCTGTCTCTGCACACTAGCCTTCTTCAAAAGACCTGTGGTCCATGGCTCCACAGTCCAAATTGACCGAGAGGTATTGGTTCGGTGTCCATGAAGGCGCTACATACACTTTACATGACTTGATTTCCTCCAAGGCAGGATCTTCCACCGCTACCCATTTGTCGCATCCGCCTGTTTTCGTCCGACTTAAAGTAATCGTCTCTGGACGGCATCGGGCAGCTTTTTTCGATTCTTGATCACTGGCATAAACCTCAACCGAACATAATGACTTCCCAGGACAATCAGGTCTGAAGTTTCTGCCAGGATCCTCAAGTCATACAAGGTCACCTTTTCATATCCCAGGAATTTTGTCTTGGATATATGGCAATGGATGCTTTTAATATCTTTGCATGGCATGGCCCAATCCACACCTGGGTCAGACCCGGGAACCAGGCACGGTCAACGCTTGGACCAACCACAGTGGCTCTCGACCTGCAAAACACAGGGAGCCTTGGGAGTCTGGAATCCAGATTAGTCAAGTGCAGTTGAACAATGCCCATGTCGTTTTGCATCTGGGTTGATCTTGTATACAAAATCAGAAAATCTGCAGTGAAAATATTTTTGTCCATTGGGGCTGACCAAGTCCAAAGACACTCACCATCTGCAAGGATAGTGCATCTGTACAAAAATCCACACCATTCCACATGCAACCACCCCACACCCAGATTTAGATCCAAAGACCCGACTCACATCACAATTGGTGAAAAGCTGATGTGACAGAAATTTTGTCCTTTGGGGCAGACCATTTTCACTGAAATATACTGAAATATGTTTGTTCCAGGGTCACTCCTCATACACAACCCCACCATCCAGACTCATCCCCAAAGACTGGACTCACACCACAAAGTCAGAAAATCTAAGGTGAAGCTATTTTGATCCATTTTCTAGGGCTGACCAAGTCCAATGACATTCACTTTGTGCAAGGATGAGCTATGATGCAGTGCCCCCACAAAAAGGGTAATTTCTTTTAACAAATAAGGAGACCTGTTTTAGTAGGTTTTCGTGCCACAGTTGCTTCACGCAGCGTTCTGCATCAGTTCACCGTCTCTTCTTGTCACTGCATGTGGAAGTTGTTTTTGAGGTGGGGGGGGGTTAGGGGACAGGAAAAATCTGTCACTGTTAAGAAGTTGTTTCTCCATGTTCCTGGACGTAGGGGGTTAGGATTCAATTTTCAGGTCATTGCACTCTCTCCTGTATCTGCTTGGCGTTGAGGGGTTGGCCACATTGGATAAAACTTCCCACTCAGAAAATATTTCCAGTGTGAGGGCCCCCCCCTTCCAGTCCACAGGAGGATTCTTTTTTGAGAGTTGTTGATATTCACAAGTTCTCTTGCTTCAGAATACTAAAAACTTTAAGGGAACTGAATTTTAATCTTGCTCCGAGAGTTGCTTTTTCCTTGTGCGCAAGTTTTCATCCTCAGATGTGAAACACTTGGTGATAGCTCGACACTTGCTTGTTCACAACACGTTGCCGACCTCATCCAGAATCCTCACCTGTCAGAAGTGTCCTCCTTGAGACACATCTCTTGTTCACTGGCTTTAGTATCTACTCCGTTACTACAATAGTTACTTCGAATGATTATATAGTAGTTATGTTTTCTTTGCGAAGGGTTCAAAGGAGATTACTAAGAGAGTCTCTTTGCAAGAGGTTTTTTCCTTTATTACATCTACATCCATTGACATGCACCATTCAAAAAAGCATCAAGTCTTTTTTGTAAGGTCTTCCGCTAGGAACTCTTGATTAAAAGAGACTACAAATTCAAAGTATCCTCAGCACATACTTCCTTTCAATTGGATCCCCCTTTCTCCAATTTTTTTTTGTTAGGCATTCTCCTTTGTAAAGCAGAAAACACCTTTAAACGTAGACGCAATCGAATATTATTCATGATTAATCAATCCTACAGAATCCCACTGCTCACAACAGTCTCCCTCCCGTGTCCAAGATACGACATTGTTCTGAGTTCTGCAATCCTAGGTCCGTGCCAAGATGGACGGCAGCCTTAGCCTTACATTGCAGGGCCGCCGGTGGCGCGTGGCAGCCAGAGAGGAGTTGGAAGGTCGGATCAAAGTAAGCAGTGTACGGAAGGGTCAACAGATATATAGTTGCTCAGATAGCTACACAATGATTCGTTGGTTGTAGCGCCGAGTTGCTTGGTGGAAGAGAATGTACTGTAATTGGTTTGAATTGAATTGCCACTTGCAAATGTTTTGCAGAAGATATTGCCAGAGATTTGGAGTGACCTGTGGGCTGGATCACTGCAAGTTGTGTGCATGCCATGGAATCCATGCGTGTGAGCCTCATGGAGTCCATCAAAATTGTTTCTGAGAAGAGTAGGGCGTCATGATCGTGGGCCGCATTAAAGCAGCTACTGCAAAGAAGGGATTTTGAGTTTGATCGGCGTGGCCTGCTTGCAATTCGAGATGGGTTTGGACAGGCTCTTTTCCATTTCAGGCTATTCAAAGACGAAGAAACACGTTCTGTATGTCTTGCTTTCTGTGTTTGGACACATGACAGCTGATTGTCGAGTCGGTTTCTTTATCCTTATCCAGTTCACCAGCTTCTCGGAGGAAACTCTCAAACTGTTTTGCCAAATTTCTCGCAAACTGGCCCCAAGTTTATGCCCCAACTCCAATGACCACCACAGAAAATCAAGCAATAAGCTCAGGCCCACGAGGCCAATTGGGACACCAACGCTTGTGAGACCGAGCTTTCAAAACTTCTCACAACAAAGAACAACGAAGATAAAGTGTTTTGCCTTTAAAGGAGGGGGTAGGCCGCGAGTGGAGTAGTAAGAGGCAGCACTATCCTGCGTCTATTCATTTGGTTCCTAGGGAAACTTAACATTTTGTTTCCTTAGGTTGTGGCGGATTGTGTAAAAGGCTCACCAGCCAGCACATGGGCAGATGCCACCGCAGGGCACTTTGGGGCGTTTGGGCAAGCGCGGCTCATGTCGCTGCAGCGACACATGTGTGTATATATATATATACATACGCATTTTTGCAGTTTGGTTTAGTGTCGTGCTTGTTGTGATATGTACGAAGAGATGCCACTTGCCACCTTTGACCAAATCCACAGTCAGCGTGTTGATGCACCTTGAAGGTGTGCAAGCCGATGCGCTTGCTAATGGCTTTGCAGATACTCAGCTTGATGATTTAAGCACTTTTGTGCCCATGTCGACATTGTTTTCATGGCGAGGCAGACCTGAATCCGGTCCGTGGTCAGAGCAAAAGTCGTGCAGGAACTGTAGATCTAATGGCTGGGAAATGCTATCCGGACTGCCTTTTCGACGACACTTTTGATGCTCCAAGTGTCTGAAAACTTCTCGCAGCCATCAGCCTCGCTTTGATATTTTTGAATGGAGGTTTTTTTTGCTTCTCCCCTTTTATCAATCAGAGTTTTTTTTTGTCGAAGATCTACTATTGCACAGGATGCTTCATCCGTGGACAGGTCAGTGGGCAGGTCAAGGAGTCAGTGGGCAGGTCAGGGAGGGGAAGGGCAACTTTTATCCAAGCTTACCAAAATTATATTTTGATGCGTGCAACAGATCAGTCTTCAAAAGCCGCAGCTGGAATGCAACCTAGGATTTGAAAGCTCCATGCACTGTGGTCCTGGAATCAGATGAGCCGGAGAATTGTTCCTGAGCTGTACTGCTCGAAGGTGCGTAGAAGGTGCCATTTAGCAAGAGTTGAGGCATCGATTTGTTCACATCTGAGGCGGCAATGATCATGTGGTAGCTGTGACTTGGTCACTCAAAACTGGCAAGAAACGTTGACCTGCGCAGGGGTGCTTGGAACGTAGAGCTGTGTGACTAATTTCAAATCCAGCCAAGGTGAATCTGACAAGACCGCTGGATTCACCACCAGATCGTGGATTAGTGGAAAGGGCGATGCGAGAAGCACCACTTGCATGTTATTATTTGTTGAAAGCTTGATTCGTTCGTTCTGCCAACGGAGTAAAGGTAAAGGTAGCGCGGTCTGAAGGAAAAAGGGAAGGGGAAAAGGGTATGGAGATGTCATTAGATCATGTGGCCTTTTTAAGGAAGCTGAATAAAGCGTTGCAACTTCCCCAGAAGCTATCTATAAGGGGAGTTGCGGCAATGCCTCGGCACGGCAAGTTTTATATTTTTTGGGGGCTTGGCCGTGAAGGTGGAGGGTAAAAAACTATATGAAGCTACTAGAACCTGGATGCAGAAGGGATCAGAAACCTCAGGCAGGCAAAATTCCAAAAGCAACAGAGCAGAGCTGACTGTGCTTGTGAGCCGTTGCCCCTTGCTTTCATTCTCAACGTGGAGCTGTTCAAATGGATGCCGCGTCTAAAGAAAGGGCAGACAATCCAACGTTCCCAGGTTCCCCCACAACTCGAATCTTGAAGTGGTGCAAGGCATTTGGATAATTTGGACCCCCGAAAAATGCACAATTTCAAGGGTCAACACATATCCCAACAATGCTTGCAAATCATTTGTAAGGGGGTCCCAACATAGAGTGATTATAGAGAATCATAACTAAAAAAATTGTAAGAGGGTCCAACAATGGGGTGATGATAAACACTTCTCCAAATATCATTCATCCACTTCATGCTGCCTTCATCTCTAAGAATTCCTGCACATGGTATAGTTTATTGTATATATCCACACTATTTTTCGACCCCCTTTGAAATCGTACATATTTGAGGGTGCCCAAGTTATATTCAATTTCAAGCATTGTTGGATATAATTTGGACCCCTGAAAAAATGTACAATTTCAAGGGAGTGGAACATATATCCAAATGATGCTTGCAAGTTGCAAGTAAGACAGAGCAGAACACACATTAAAGAGATACAATAGAGTCATTATATATATATATATATACTTCAATGTTTTTTCATCCACTTCATGATGCGTTCATCTCTAATCCTTGTCTTGATCATGCACATTAGTTTATTGTGCATAATCACTATTTTTCGAAGCCCTTGAATTTCAACGGAGTCGAACAAATAGATCCAACAATGCCTGCAAAGTGCAAATAAGACATGACTAAACAATGTATCAAAGGGTCCAAAAATAGTGTGATTATAGAGACTTATACTTACTGCGGGCGAATAAGGCCCACGATACTCTTCGCAAGTCCTTTTCGGCAGCGTTTGATTAGTAGGTTTCCACGCTACTAGTGTGCAGGCATTTTGTACAAAAAGCTTTACACTTGCAACCAGCTGATGCATATGCTACCACAGTAGATTATACAAGTGCAGCCAGCTGATGCGTATGATGTGATCCTGAAAGGGCGGATTTCCACACGTCAGGGGTCGCGACAACTTCGAGATTTCAAGTCAGACGGTAAGTTTCAATGTATTAGTGAACATGATTGTTGTTTTGCCACAGCGCAAATCGCAGTTGGGAAGTGGAGAACTCCACGCCACACTGACCTGATGATTAGTTCATAGATGCCGGAAATCGCTTCTGGGTTATTCTGCAACTCCATGTGCCCCACTATGTCAGATTTGCAAGAAATATCGAAAAGCCAGCTCAGCCGGGGCCTTTGTGCATCGAACATGTATCGCAGTGTTGCATTTTTGCAGCTGTAGTTGGGGAAAGAGCTGGGAACATTTGAGGTGGAGATCACCCATTTCATTGGTGGGCCGTGCCAAGAAGAGGAATTGAATCTTGCCAGGAGTAAGGTCCGTGAGCATGACACTCTTGGCAAGAACGGGTTGCGTTTCGTATTTTTCGCCAGATAGCGAAGCTATGGGGTTCTTACTTCAAATAGCAATGAGCTGCCTGTGCGCGCTTTCGAGACAGGTTGCCGGTGCTGGTGCTGGTGCTGTGAGCTGGCTGTGCAGGTGCTGGGTGCCGGGTGCCGGTGCTGGTGCTGGTGCTGTGAGCTGGCTGTGCACGTGGTGGAGACAGGGTGCCGGTGCCGGTGCTGGGTGCTGGCTGTGCGCGTGGTGAAAACAGGGTGCTGGTGCTGGTGCTGGGTGCCGGTGCTGGGTGCTGGCTGTGCGCGTGGTGGAGACAGGGTGCCGGTGCCGGTGCTGGGTGCTGGCTGTGCGCGTGGTGGAGACAGGGTGCCGGTGCCGGTGCTGGGTGCTGGTGCTGGTGCTGTGCTGTGAGCGTGATGAAGACCGGGTGCCGGTGCCGGTGCTGGGTGCTGGCTGTGCGCGCCCGTGGTGGGTGCCGGGTGCTGGGTGCCGTGAGCTGGCGTGCCGGTACTCGGTGCTGCATGGTGCCCGCTTCTGACAGTGAAGTGATAACAACCGCCGCTTCTGACAGTGAAGGGTGACAAACCGCCGCTTTTGACAATGAAGTGCCAGCAGTCATGGGCCGCATGAACTTATGCGCGTTGAGCGTTCTTTGTCTATTAGCGCTGTGGGGTATTTACACTCTTCAGGTTCTATTTTGCCCGACAGCTGTGTCAAGGGTTGTACTGTTTGCGCGCATACTTTTGCACGTATAATGATCCACGCGCAACGTCAGGCTCTCAACCGACCATTGTTTCAGCATGTTTCAACATGCTACACACACAACAGTCGTGCTGGATACTGCTTGGGCTTGGGTGAGTGAAGCCTACGGGCTTTGCCGTTTGTGCGCATACTACTTTTGTGCGCATAAACGTGTACGCGCAAGACCATACGGCCTTATCGTTCTACAGATCGTTGCTTCAAGCATGCTACAAAGTCAATAGTGGTGCTGGATACTGCTTGGCCTTGGGCCAATGACACTTACGCGCTTTGCTGTTTGCGCGCATCAACTTATACGCGCAAGATCATATGTTGCTATTCCCCAAATAGGGATAGCTATGGAGTTCTTATTGCAAATAAAAATGAGCTGGCTGCGCGCGCTTTCAAAAGGGTGTCGGAGCTGGTGCTGGTGTTGTGGTCCTGAGGGCTGGTGCTGTGAGCTGGCTGGGCGCGTTTAAGACGGGCGGCGGCGCTGGTCGGGCGCTGGTGCCGCTGCCGGTGTTGTCAGCTGGCAAAGCGCACCGGTGCTGGTGTCAGCTGGTTGTGCGCGCTGTGGAGGTGCCGTAAGCTGGCTGCGCAGGCTGCGTACATTCTTGTTCCAGCCAGTCGCGTGTCAACAGGTCGTGGGATTCTGCCTAATTGTATGTGTACATATGTATAGCGCATAGATATCGAGAGGCGGGCCAAAAGAATCAGAACAGAGAGTGTCAAACTCAGGATGTGCTGCGTTGTGCTTGGCGGTGGAGGTTGTGGATGGACAGCGGCAAACCTGCAAACAATTTGCAGCAGAGTGTTATATAGTGTATTTTCAAACAAGTCTCCTCAATAATTGCGCAAGGGAGCCTTTGTTAGGAACCTGTGGATCAGCGCAAGATTCGGAATGAATTCCTTTGCCTAAACTAGGTGCTGAAAGACCTGGCTCAAGCGATTGAACTGGCATCTCGGCTTGAAGTTCCTCAACGTCGCATTGTTTTTGGAAAACAGAAGACACTCATTTTCCGTAACGCTCTGCTACTTTTTCAGGCGTTCAGTCGTGCTGCCAAGCGCCTAGATGCAGAAGGTGATATTCATGGTGGCCAGACAGTGCGGCTTAAGGGTTTGCAGGTGCCCTGAGATACGATTTTGAAGTTGCTGCGCACTTGGACTTTAGAACTTGATCAACAGTATTTTGAAGAACAAAGATTGGTCAGTTCTGGGCTAGACAAGCTGCTGATATGTTCACTGTTGACATGTTCAAGCTCCAGCCAAAACCATGGAATCACTGCAGGGAGCTGCTCATTTGAACGGTGAGATCGGCCTGGCTTTGCGTTTTAATGCGGACTCGGGCCGACGCTTGGACTGTCACTTATGTTCACCGGTAGATGAATGGCATCCATGTCATTCTCAATGGTTTTTGTTGACCTCGCTCGTGTCCTTGCTTGTTTGCGCTGTCGGCTTCGTTACCGGCCCACGCGTTGGACTATTTGTGCTTTTGATGTTCACTTGTTGCACTTCGAAATGCTGTATTTGCTGCGAGTTTATCAGTCTTTGCATGTTGTGCACACAGTACACGTTCTTCCGTGTTAGCGCGATGCGCGCACGGGTTGGGTATTGGATTGATGCTACGTGCAGATACGGGTTGTCAGAGAGGGGTTGGGTGGGTGGGGGGTTGGGGGTAGGCAATTTCCTGTGGAAGCGCGTTGCAGATTTGAATCAACAAGGGTTGCGCAGCACACAGCGAGCAACGCAGTGTCATTCATTGCGCACGATGCAAAGCAACAAACCAAATCTGCGCAACAAACCGCAAACGGCCTCGAAAAAATAGCAGTCCCGTTTTCAATACACATGTTGTGGAAGGGTTGCGTTTTCAACGAAGGAGAACCTCTGTGCAGCATCCCGTTTTCATGGATCAAATGGGTTTCTCGCTGTGTGCAAACGCACAAAGTCAACCAAATCGTTGGCTGGAAACGAGCCCGGCGGGTTGTGTTGTTGTTGTTGTTGTCGTTGTCGTTGTCGTTGTGGTTGTGGTTGTGGTTGTTGTTGTTGTTGTTGTTCATGGTGTGTTGTTTTGAAGGGCAGAAACTAAAACTTCAGACCAGAGCGAAAAACGCAAAACCACGCAGCTTCAAAACGTCGTGCCACCATACCACATCACGTGAACGAAAGCGCATTGCTTTCTAAAGGGTTACATAGCCGATCTACGCCAGCGCAAGCTCCCCACCCATTGGATGAATGGGATTGGTGAAAAAGGTTTTAGCCGTCAGCTCAAGCCCTCCCAGTTCGTTATTTTCCTTGGATGCAATGCAGCTATGGGTGTGAAGGATAACGTTAGCTTTCTGACAGTCTGCGCCGATGACCGTGTCAGTGTGTTGCTGGCCCACTTCGGCAGCGCTCGACTGGGCTCTAAAGGTGGAGCGCGAGTGGGTAGCGCATAGGCTGGGATTTCTGGTCCAGCCGCCGTCCACTCATGGAGAGAATCGTCGCCGGCGCTTGGAAGCTCTATGTTTGTGGACAGTGTCCGAAAACTAAGTTTGCTATCTGAAAAGCAGCAGTGGTATACGGTACGCAATCTTTCAAGGACATGGAATTGCGTGATGCTGGGGCTATGTCAGGCTCAAAACCCAACACAATGGCAAATGTCCAAATCATCACCAGGCATGCAATCCATGAACGATTGACGCAGAAATCAAGTGGCAAACCAAGCTGCACAACGGCGTCATGCGAATCATTCGCGCAAGTCGATGAAAAGTGTAACCTAGCTCGCCGAGTGCCCAAGGGTTTGATGCTTCTTCTGGAAGATTGTCGTTCTGTACAGAATGAGGGGGCGCGAAAATGGGAGATTCGCAATCAAAAGCCGTAATCCTCATGGGGCCGCAGCGGACGTTTGAGAAGTCTCTAAGGACGCGGCCAGGGGATCTGCGTGACCGAGCTTGGTGGAAGGCTCCAAGATGGGCCGCGCGTCAGCCATCAGGGTAGGAGATGACTCAGAGAAGTCCCCTGGTGGTTTCCACAATGCCGGTGTTGCCGCCAAGTCCGCGCATCAGATGCGCGGACTTGGTGGGTCCATCATCTTCTGCGCGCGCATCAGTTCTTCTCAGCGAGCTTTGCAGTGAGCAGGGGTGCTTGGGCGACGTGGGCCCAGCTAGGGCGGAGTCACGCGTTGGCCAGAAGGTCTTCTTGGCACGCGTCCCATCATGAACATGCCAAACGTGCAACCGTCAGCCATGCAATCAATCATGATTCCTGACGCATCGTGTACAAAAGGCATGCGCAAGTATTCCGTGTGAGAATGATGTATCAATTGCAAACGTTTCTGGGCCCGTATCAACAATGGAATTCCAAGGTAGTTCTGCAAAGGAGGATCTTGAGTGTCTAGCTGAACGAAACTAATTAATAAGAGATGAAAATCTTTCTTCTGAGGCTGGAGGTCAAGGATGCAACAGTGATTTTTCACAGGAAGGAGTCGGGTGGGCTTGCTGAACATTGCCGCCGAACGCGATGAGACGGAGAAAAGCTTTTGCGCGGTTCTTGTCCAGTGCGTTCGTTTTGGCAAGAACTCTAGCGGTGTTCCATTGATCATATTGCGCCTCGCCGGCTGTTTCACAGCCCTGAGCGTAGAAATCGATGGAATTGGGGTCGTGAAGGGCGCTCGGCCGAAATTCTCATGGCCGCGAAAGATATGCTTGACCCCACGGTTGGTGGCCCTCCACTGTGAGGGAACGGTGGAAATGTTGGAGCGTGGAGCTTTGGAATGTAGTGCGTGAACAGGCTTGTCTGCTCATAGTCCTGCAAGTGCTCCTTCCATTCGCTGTGGATCCAGTGTTGGGCCTGAGCTTGGATGTTAGCGGCGTGGAGCAATCTGGCTATGTAGCGGAATCGGTGTATTCCCTGTTGGATGAAGTTGATCAGAGTGGTGTTGCAGGAAGTGATAGAGCTGTGCCGGTTGATCGTGGCTGGCGACGCTGTCGTGGTCAGCCTGGGTGTAAGCGGTGGATGGTCGTCGTGTGGGGTGGGGAGGATCCACAGCCCATTGTCTCTTGTGTGAAGTAGCGGATGAGGCTGTGCTGGCGTAGTCCGCGTTGGGGGCTAGTCGAATGGCTTGTCGAGGCGGTGTGCGTGATCGTTGGCGGATGGGTGGTGGTGCCCAGACGCCTCGAAGTTTGCTGTTGCTGAGGTGGCTGAGGCTTTCGCGGTTGTGATGGTTGAGGCGGGTGGTGTGGATGGTGGCTGTGTTGTAGCCAGATATGAGGCGGAGGTGTTGGCGGTACCGCCCGGGGTCGTGGCAGCGGTGTGGGTGGTTGAGGTGGTGCCGGAGGTGGAGCTGGCTGGTGGGCAGTTGCTGTGGAAGTGGAAGTGGAAGAATGCCCCGGGTGTGGCGGAGGCTGCTGTTGAGGTTGAACAGGTGGACTGGTTGGCAATGGCATGACTTGTGGAGAGGTGGTGTACACTTCCTATCACCACACTAGCCCATCCCGACTTTTATGAACATCCGGTGGAAATTGAGCCAGTAGACGATGACCACCTACTCGGTTTCCACATTGACCCACTCAACAGAACAATAACCTTTCAACTCCCCACGCACCCGTGGCAGATTCGTGATCCACACTCTGCCGGGAGTTACAGACTTCCACTTTCAGGCCTACAATCAAGACATCACACCCTACGCCAGTATACATACCCACAGCACTTGGCGCAGACTACATCCCAACAGTTGGTGCAGCTCTATATGACAAAAGGTCATTCCAAAGAACACTGTGCTGCAGCGCTGCGGCCCCGTCGAGAAAAAGACAGCTTGCTTGCTACAGACTGAGAAACACATCACTTGCATGCTTACAACCACCTACACTAGTTGCGCCGGTTTCGGCTTTCTGTGTGTGTCAACCCCTGTTTCCAAGGGAACTATTCTTGCTATTCGTGCTCGCTGAATTGAAGTGCTGTACAGAAACTCAGCAGGGGGGCAGTGAATCTCATTTGATCCACTGCCCAACGAAGACGGTGGTTGAGATTGTGAAATGACTCCGGGATGCTGGAGTCACGTACCTGCCGAATTGTTGCACTTGATTCCTCAACGATTTGTTCAAACATTCTGGTCGACCGACTCAGCACTTTCTTTTAGTCAAGGTCTAATTTGCAGTAATTGTAAAGTGCTAATGCTCACCGCGGACCGACTGAAGACAAGCTCCACGGAGCAACCTTCTCAAGTGTGTGTGTGTGTGTGTCCGTGTGTGTGTGTGTATGAATACCTGGCGCTCTAGAATTACTGAATACTTAGACGAAGTGAATTAGGCGCACTAGTTAGGGAGCGGGCCTTTTGTCTTACACCGCCCGGGTAGAGTAGAGTAGAAAAGGGAGAACAGAGGGAAAGGCACCCGCGCGCAAGTGTGTCGAGTACCATTTCCCTCTGAGTTACCCTAATTAGAGGGAGGGGGGGGGGTTGGGGTGTTTGGGGTAGAGAACACGTCGGGGTTTATTCTCCGTATGCCCGGCGGCTTCGAGTTTCCGTGAAGCCCGGCGGCTTTGATTTTGAGAATACAGTAGTGAAACGAAAGTCGGTTAAGATAATCCAACGCATGCAGAAAACCGTTGAGTCAGTTACACGGTAGTCCGGAGTGAGAACGGCGCCTCCTTGCGGAGGATCACACTGTGCGCCCAAGTGGGACGGCGCAGCGGCGCACACTTTGACAATGGGTTTGCAGTTAACTCTTTTCCCAGGTCGAAAAGGGTGAAGGAACGGAAAGGCGAGTGAGTCCGAAAACTTGAAGATGTTTAACAAAGGCTTTGCGTGACTGCGGAGGCTAGTTACTGCATTAGCACTTTACTGTAAGAACGGTAAGGCGAAAGGGTCCGAAG